TGGTCTTTCTGACCTTGTTGTATGTGATAATCCATTGTTCCCCCATTAGCAAGCTGCAGAGATTTCTTACAGTTGATACTCAAACCTTAACATTCTAGTCAGACAGAATGAAGTAACACAGAATTTGAACTCAGTATTCACTTGTCTTGTAAGGGTGAAATAATTTCAAATTTAAAGACAAATAAAAGAAACGTTTTCTCCTTCATACCTAATGCATCATGAAGATACTGCTGTCCCACCAATTTGAGGTATTCCTCAATGGATTTGGTGGCAATTGTATTCTCTCTGAAGATCAAGACATCATGCTCTCCACACCGATCCACCTCAGACATCACCAAATCAGTCAAAAAATCCTGTTAAAATAATGTTCAAGCAAGCAGAAAGCAACAGAATAAATATGTATTAGAAGAGATTGAGGAAATGAGAGAGCCTGAAAACACTGGTTTAAAATGAAAACTACCAAATTTATTTGAGTGAAGAAAAAGGTAGTCAGGTTAGAATTTTAGGCACGTCTCCATTCTTAAATTTAAAAGTAGTTCAAAGATTTCCCATTGTACCTTTGATGTCTCTCTGTTCTCTGACTTATGCCTATTCTATAGCTTCAATCTCACACGACTTTCTCTATACTCTGCTCCTCCTGGTCCATTTTAGGTTGTTGAATACACCAAGTCTGCTAGCCCTTTCTAACACAATGTTCTCTATTCACCACAAAGACTCCTGCATATGCTGGTCTTAGTTCTGCTGCACTCCCGCCCTCGTTCCTGCCCCCATAGTTATTAAGTTAATTCCTAAGATCCTTAAGATTGTAGTTCATAAATCATTTCCTCTGGAGCCTTCCCTGATCAACAACACCCAATGTCCCCGAGCTCCACACTAACTGTGTCATGTCTTTTCTTCTCAGTACTTTTTCCTGTAATCACATTTATTTCTATAATTACTTTATTAATGTCTGTTTTTCTAAAAAATTTTAAGCCCATAAGACCAAGGACAGTGTCAATTTTTGTTTATGACCAGTGTCTGACTGCTTCTGGCACATATTAAGTGTTCAATATATATTACAAATTGGTTCATTATATCAACATGGAATTTCTTGACCTCATCACTCAGAACTCATTTTTGAGGCTACCTGTCTAGCTAGTTATGTTCCCCTCATCCAAGCAGCCACTCATTCAGGGGAAAGGGAAGTCTAAGACATAAAGCTCTGAATAAATGGCTGCTTCATTCCCCAGCAGTCTTAAAATATTTGATGTATAACTTTAATGTTTGTTAGATTTTATTTGAAGTGGGTTATCACATATTTTTAAATATTGTATGAAATAAAATATTTCTCATCAAATTAATTCCAAGTCCTCTATTAGGTTTCAGCGGCTGTAAATCTTTATGGGAAAAGACTGCTCATCATTCTTTTGTGAAGCAGCTGGTGGAGTGGAACCACCGATTCTTTGATTAGTAGCACTAATTAATGCACTAAGCCACCAGATTTCTTTAAATATATATTTACTGGATACTCAAGCACTTAGGATGAAAAATAGAAGGCATATACCAAATTACTTGAACTTTAATCATTTTACGAATCAGTGGACTCTACAACTGGGGCAGCCCAACAGTATAGAGTTGGAGAAGTAAGAATCACTATTTCAACTCTTCTGCTCAGGGGTAGAAGAACATTTTTGATGGTGATCATAATTCATGATATTCATAATATCATGACTGTGTTAGTGGTTTCAATGGGTGCACAGTAATCTATCAAAAGTCACTGAATTGTACACTTTACAAGAGCATGTTGTTAGGTGCTGTCGAGTTGAGTATAACTCTCAGTGATCCTATAAACAGCAGATCTGAACCCTGTTCTATCCTGTACCATCTTCACATTTCCTGACACACTAGACCCCGCTGAGGCAGTCACTGTATCAATCCACTTGGTTGAGGGTCTTTCTCTCCTTCACTGACCCTTCACCCCTCCAAGCATTGTGTCTCTCTCCAAGGAATAGCCTCTCCTAGCAACATGTCCAAAGTATGTGAGATGAAGCCTCATCATCCTTGCTTTCAAAGAGCACTCTGGCTGGATCCTCTCCAAGACATATTATTTGTTCTTTTGGCCGTCCATGGATGTTCGGTGCTCTTCTCCAGTACCACAACTCAAAGGCATTAGTTCTTCTGTCATCTGTATTCGTTATCCAGCTCTCAGATGCATAGCAAGGGATTGGAAAGACTATAGCCTGAATCAGATGCACCTCAGTCCTCAAACTGACATCATTACTCCTCAATAATTTGGAGGGGTCCCTAATTGTAGACTTTCCCAGTGCAATATGTCTCCTGATATCTTGACTGCTGGTATCAAGGGTGTTAACTGTGGATCCAAGTCAGATGAAGTTGTTAATAGTTTCAATCTCTTCACCATCCACCATGATGTTGCCTCTTAGTCCAGTGGTAAGAATCTTTGTTTTGTTCCTTAAAAGGGCATAGCTTAGTATATGTAAATTGTACACTGTGATTAACAAAACTAAACAAACCAAACCAGCTGGTATTAAGATGTTTCAGATTCCTGGTAATCCCAGGGGCTGTAGAGTCAGACTACAGGCATAGGGTTTTCATGCTGGAGACTTCTCAGATGACGACTGCCATGGCTTTCCTTAGAGAATCCAGAGTGGATTCAAGTCACCAACCTTTAGGTTAGTAGCTGTTTGGTTAACCATTTACACTACCCAGAGATAAAGTGGTTAAAAGGAAAAGTCCTTTATACCTCCTGAATATTGAGCAACTAAAGAGCAATGATATCTTACTCTAAGCCATTAATGTTTTTAACACCAGAATGCTTAAACTTACCATCATTAATTTCAACCACAAAGAGTATAATCAACAAGAAGGCAGGCCAAGTTAAGTAAGAGTTTAAATAATGAACATATTGATATATTCAGATTTTAATAAAAATACTAATAGCATTTCATTTTATTGTTTGTTTGGTTCTAAATAAGTGCTTGGAAGGGTGGAGGGACAATGCAAGAGAGGAAGACCCTGGATGAGATGGATTGACTCAGGGGACTGAGGTAATGGGGTAGGTGTGTCAGAGACAATAGTGAAGTTGGCTCAAGAGAGAGGAGGGTTCAGAGCTATTGTGCACAGGGTTGCTATGAGTTGCAACATTTTAACTTCTATCGGTCTGAAATAAAATTTAAATATAAATGATGAAGACGCTGCTTAGTCAAGTAAATGTGCCTGTGGTGGTAATTAATCATATCTCAAGTTGATCAAAGACCTGATTATTCATTTGCTGTTCTGCTACAAATTTCTCCTCTTTCTGTCTTCTTGAAATTTTATTTCCATTCAGAATATGAGATAAAGTTGTCTTCAAATATCTATATATTTTGTAATGTTTTTACATATTTACAGTTTAAATATATTTTTAACCTCACGGCAGCTCTTGCTCACCATTCTCTGAATCACATTGTTCTGTGACTGGGAGATCTAAAAACAAAACATAAAATACCCCAAAACAAAAACAAACAACAAGCCCATTGCCATGGAGTGATTCCAACTCATAATGATCTAAAAGGGCAAAGCAGAACCGCTCCATAGGCTGTCCAGGGCTGTCAATCTTTTACAGAAGCAGATTGCTACATTTTTCTCCCACAGAGTGGCAAACAGATTTGATTACTAAACCTCTGGTGAACCAGTCAAGCTAACTGTACCACCAGGGCTCCTTTTGGAAGATTTAGTTACAGGCTAATTCTTAGTATAGTAATAGTTAAGTTATGGTGAACTATTATAGCTGTTGGTTGGTAAGAAACTGCTGTTGCTGTGTGTACTGTCAAGCTGGAGACAATCCATAGCTGACCCACTGGCAGGTTTTCAGCAGAAGTCAATAAATAGCATGGGAGGAGATTGCCCATCCTTCTCCCTCACAGTAGCTCGTGGATTCAAATCACGTGCCTTTGGGACTGCAGCACAGCTTCTTGCCACTAGGCTACCATAGTGCCCTATTATCATTGTTGTTGTTAAGTGCTGTCGAATCGTAGATGACTCATAGCGACCCTATGAACGAAAGACCTGAACACTATAACTTTCACTGTTTCTCCAAGTTCATAGGATTTACAGAGGCAAGATATTTATTATTATCATTACTATTA